GCCCAGGCTGGCCTCGAACTCACAGAGATCCGCCTGGCTCTGCCTCCCGAGTGCTGGGATTAAAGGCGTGCACCACCACCGCCCGGCTGAGAAACCCAATCTTTAAAAAAAAAAAAAAAAAGCAAAAATCTTGGCCTGGCTGTGGTGGTGCATGACTGTAATCGCAGCACTCAGGAGGCAGAGGCAGGTAGATCTCTTGAGTCAAAGCTAGTCTGTTCTACATAGTGAGTTCCATGATACCAAATGTCACACAGTGATACCCTGTGTCAAAAACAAACCAAACAAAAAGACCATTGGGGAAAAAAAAAAAATGAAGGTGGAGATAGAAGACACCTGATAGCAACCTCTAGCCTCTGTATATGCAGGCATGGGTAAACACTCATACATGTACACACAACACCAACACATATAACACACATACACACAGAAAGATTTAGTGCTTGGGACACTTGAGACATGAGGATTGTTTGAAAACAATTGAAACATGAGAATTGAGACATGAGGATTGAGTTGAAAACCAGCCTGGATTACACAGTGAGTTTGAGGCCAGCCTGGAGTACAGGAGGAAAAATGAGAAGTAGTAAGTGCCTATGATTCCAGCACTCTGGAGGGTAGTAGTGGTTCCCAGTTATTCTCAGGTCACAAATCCTGTGCCAGTCTGAACACTGCAGCCCTCTCAGACAAAGAGACATGCCATTTACACAGCATTCAGGTTTCCAGAACGAGATGTCCACAAAATACTAACCCTTACTGGACTGGCAGGCTACCACATAGACAGCTGTAGCTAGGCTTGGTGGTAGTCCTGTTGTTTGGGAGGGTGAGGAAGGAAGATTGCCATTTGTTCAAAACCACCCTGGACTACATAATGGATATCAGGTCAGACAGCTATAAAGCAAGATCCTAACTTGAAGAAAGAAAAAAAACAAAAATCAAACAAACCAGACAAAATAAGAGAACAAATTTTCAACATATAATTTATAAATACCTTGTCTTATACAAAGAGAATCTTTGTTTTTGTTATGTTTTGTTTTTTTGAGACAGGGTCTCTATGTAGTCCTGGATGTTCTGGAACTTGCTATGTAGGCCAGGCTGGCCTCAAACTCACAGAGATCGGTCTGCCTCTGCCTCCCAAGTGCTAGGGTTAAAGGTGCGCCACCACACATAGAGAATTTTTGAATTGAGGAATTAAGAAACAAAACTCAACTGAGAGTCATAGTGCATACCTTTAATCCTAGCACTCATTTAAGAAGTTAACAATTTAGGGCTGGAGAGATGGCTCAGAGGTTAAGAGCACCGACTGCTCTTCCAGAGGTCTTGAGTTCAATTCCCAGCATCCACATGGTGGCTCACAACCATCTGTAATGAGATCTGGCACCTTCTTCTGTATAAATAATAAATAAATCTTTTTTTTTTTTTAAAGAGGTTAACAATTTAAATACTTTAATCATGAGAAATCTTTCAATCACGTAGAAGGTACATTCATCATCATGGGTTTAGTTTACTAGGCGTGATGATACAGGCCTGTAATCTGAGCATCATAGAGGTAAGGGAATAATGATCCAGGAGTTCAAGATGAGCTTCAGGTATAGAGCAAAGCCAGGCTAGCCTGGGCTAGGTGGCAGCCTATCTTAGAAGCAACCTGAGAACATAAATTAGAAATACTTAAATGTAAACTAACAAATAATTCTTTCTTGCTTTAGAGTTGTGTCAAGAAGTGTAAAATCTTGAACTAGTAATTTTGGTTCTTTGTTGAGGAATACTTTATTTTGGAAAAGAAAGAACTTTTTTTTACTGACTTTTATTTTTTTAATTACACATCATATTCATTAATTACACTCATGATATTAATTACATTTGTGGTATTCACTGATTACATTCACAGTATTCATTCAGTAACTATATTTATGATATTTATTATCTTAATTATATTGATTTATTACGTTCATGATATTATGTCCTGATACTATCTATTGTCTGTTTGTGGGGCTTTTCTATCACATAAAACAGAGATTCTGTACTTAGGAAATCACTGCTCTATTTTCCTGTTTTCTCCATCTTGAGAGAAGGTCTAATTTTTCTGTCTCTATATATTTGTATATTCTTTATATTTCATGTAATACAATTCTATAGTATTTATCCTTTTTTTCAAATGTAAAAACATTTTATGTACAAATGTACAACTTCAGGAGAACTAATACACAGGTAGCCTGAACAAAAAAACAGATTATAATTCAAAAGTCCAGGGTTATTTGAAACTGGAAAATACTTTCTCTTTAGAAAATAGTAAAAATGATAACACTTTCCAGTTAGCTCTTTTAAGCCAAATAATAGCTGAATTATACATATAAATATTGATTAGATTCTGGGATACAGAACAAACCTATCTTCTTCTGTTCAGAGAGCTATGTTTTACTTAAGTTGTGTAAGTGAGATTCTATTCATCTTCCCCTTCACTGTTTGATTTACAGCAGACATTTTTTTATAGGCTAATCCATAATCTAAAAAGATTTTAGCCTCCTCTCCTGAAAGTATGGCCAGCATTTTCTTTCATCAACCTGAAATAGTAAAACTTCTTATCCTAATAGTGAAATGTTTTACTAAAGCTTACCCAGTGATTGGGTAAAACCAAAACTTATTATAAGCCACAGTTATCCTAGGGTCCCCCCTGCTAAGTAGCCTCCCTGGTTCTGTGGGTTGTAGTCTGATTGTCCTTTGCTTTATATCTAGGATCCACTTAAGAGTGAGTACATGCCATGTGTGTCCTATGACTAACAAATAATTCTTTCTTGCTTTAGAGTTGTGTCAAAATGTGTAAAATTTTGAACTAGTAATTTTGGTTTTTTGTTGAGGAATGCTTTATTTTGGAAAAGAAAGAACTTTAAATTTTTTATTTTGTTTTGTTTTGTCTTTTGAGACCGGGTTTCTCTGTGTTACAGCCCTGGCTGTCCTGGAACTCAATCTGTATGTAGTCCAGGCTGGCTTCGAGCTCACAGATCTGCTTGCTTCTGCCCCCCAAGTGCTGTGATTAAAGGTGTGCACCACCACCACCACCATCACCACCTGCTTTAAATTATTTTTTTGAGATTATAATTTGCCGGGTGGCATTGGCGAATACCTTTAATTCCAGCACTCAGGAGGCAGAGCCAGGTGGATCTCTGTAAGTTCGAGGCCAGCCTGGTCTGCAGAGTGAGATCCAGGACAGGCCCCAAAACGACACAGAGAAACCCTGTCTCAAAAAAACAAAAACAAACAAACAAAAAAAGAGATTATAATCTAACTCCATTTCTCCCTCCTTTTTCCTCCCTCTAAACTCTCCCATATACTTCTCTCCCTTGTCCTCCAAATTCATGGTGTTAATTGTTACTGCGTGCATATATGTATATACATTTATGTTTTTTTTAAAGATTTATTTATTTATTATGTATATAGAAGAGGGTACCAGATCTCATTACAGATGGTTGTGAGCCACCATGTGGGTGCTGGGAATTGAACTCAGGACCTCTGAAAGAGCAGTTGGTACTCTTAACCTCTAAGCCATCTCTCCAGCCCCTACATTTATGTTTTGAAATATAACCTTCTAAGTCTGTATGATGTTACTTGTTATGTGTGTTTTCAGGGTTGTTCATCTGACAGGACAACCAGTGGTGTGTCTTCCGTGAGGAAGACCACCTTTCATGCTCCCAGTTTTCCTCAGTTGCCTTGTATTTTTGGGTAGTGGATAAGGAAAAGTCCCTAAGGCCTAAACTCTACACACAATTTTTTTTAAGATTTATTTTTTAATTTATGTGTATGAATATTTTACTTAGGTGTATGTATGTGCACCATGTGTGTGCCTGGTACCAGTGGAGGGCAGAAGATGCCTTCAGATCTTGGAACTGGAGTTACTGATAGTTGTGAGCCACCATTTGGGTGCTGGAAGCCAAACCCAGGTTCTCTGCAAGAGCAACAAGTGCTCTTGACCACTATTTATATCCAATATATAGTTATCTGTCCAGCACCATGAGATTTCTTTTTCTTCTTTTCGCTTTTTTTAATTTTTCAATTTATTATTTATTTATTTATTTATTTATTTATTTATTTATGGCTTTTTGAGACAAGGTTTCTCTGTGTAACCCTGGCTGTCCTGGAACTCACTCTGTAGACCAGGCTGGCTCAATCAAACTCAGAGATCCTCCTGCCTCTGCCTCCTGAGTACTGTGATTAAAGGCATTTGCCACTACCACCCAGGCTATAAAAGGATTTCTTGTTGGAAAATAAATCAAACTTCAGTGACTTAAACGTGAAAACTCTTGGCAGCTGAAGAGATGTTTCTGTCAGTAAATGCTTGCTCGCTATGCAGGCCTGAGGAACTGAGTTGACCCCAGCACCCAAGTAAGAAGCCAGAAGTGCTGGCACATTTGTGATCAGAGGGTCTCTGGGACTCTCGCTGACCAGCCTAACCTATCCTTACCACCGAGAGACTCCTTCTCAAGAAACAAGGTGAGGGCTGGTCGAGCCGACCCTGAAGGTGCAAGTGTGTATGTAATGTGCAAGCCAGAAGGCCTGAGTTTGATCCCTAGAGCCCATGGAAAGATAGGAGAGAACCAGCTCCACAAAATTGACCTCCACATGTGCACAGAGGCACATTCTCTCCCCCATCATACACACAATCATAATAAAGGAGAGAATGTTGAGGGGCAGCACCAAAGGTCAACATCTGGCCTCCACCTCCCCACGCACGCCCACAGGTGCATATACACACAGTGGAAAACAAATGTTGATAGGCTGTTCTTGGGTCTGCAGGGCACTACTGCCCCCTAGTTTGCTGTGGCTCTGATTTCATGCAACAGAGAAGTATTTCAAGCATGTTGCTGAGGCGTCAAGTTTTCTGTGACTTCACAATTGGTGCCCCACTTAAAGCTGCAGTTTTTCTGATTAAGATCCAGAAGAAAGTCCCTGTAAAAGTTCATCTCTACATATAAAGGTATAAGGAATTGGAGGACCCATCTGGTGCTAAAAATGTTTCTTTCATTAGAGTGTTGGCAGTTGAATCCAGGGCTTTGTGCCTGCTAGTTAGGCACTATACCAACCGAGCTGCATCACTATTTGTCTTTTTCAGAAAAACATCTCAACTCAGTAGCTCAGAGACTGGCCTCTTAACATCTGTGCTTCTTCCACATTAGCCTCTGTAGAGCTGGGATTACAAATATGGGCCACCAGAGCCACATCCAGGAGTATGCTTTTTTTTTTTTTTTTTTTTTTTTTTAAATTTTGTTTTTTCAAGACAGGCTTTCTCCATGTAGATCAGGCCAGCCTTGAACTCACAGAGATTCACCAGCCTCTGCATCCTGAATGCTGGGATTAAAGCTGTGTGTCACAGCGAGTATGCTTTCTTAATCTTGGATCTGGGTTTGATTTGCAGCACCCATGTGGTCACAACAGTAACTGCAGTTCCAAGGACTCTGACATCCTCTTCTGACCTCTGCAGGTACCAGGCACACAAATGTTGTACATTTGTACAGGCAAAACATTCATACACATCATAAAATAAATTAATTAAAAACACGAACTAAAACTGGGGCCTGGAGAGATGGCTCAGTGGTTAAGAGCACTGGCTGCTCTTCCAGAGGTCCTGAGTTCAAGTCTCAGCACCCACCCACAGCTTGTTACTGATTATAACTTCAGTCCTGGGAGATGTGATGCCATCTTCTGGCCTCCCATAGCACTGCATTTAGGCAAACAGGGAAAGCACTCATGTAAAAAACAATACTTTTTTGTTGTTGTTGTTTTGGTTTTTTGAGACAGGGTTTCTCTGTGTAGCTTTGTGCCTTTCCTGGAACTCACTCTGTAGCCCAGGCTAGCCTTGAACTCACAGAGATCCGCCTGGCTCTGCCTCCTGAGTGCTGGGATTAAAGGTATACGTGCCCTGCCACCCCCTCTCCCCCCACATTTTTTTTTTAAAGATTTATTACATATATAGTGTTCTGTCTGCATCTATCCCTGCAGACCAGAAGAGGGCACAAGATCTTATTACAGATGGTTGTGAGCCACCATGTGGTTGCATGGGATTTGAACTCAGGACCTCTGGAAGAACAGTCAGTGCTTCTAACCTCTGAGCCATCTCTCCAGCCCTACATTTTTTAAAATTAAAAAAAAATATTTTAAAACTTTTATTTTGAAGTAGTTTGTCATTTACATAAAAATGGAAAGGTAGAACAAAAGTTTAAAAGTGAAATCTGGCCTCAATTTATTAGACTGAGGAACTTTTTTTTTTTTTTTTTTTTTTTTAAAAACAAGGTTTGACTATATCATCTTGCTGGCCTGGAACTTGCTGTGTAGACCTAACTGACTTTGAACTTACAGAGGTTTCTTTGCCTCTTTATAACTGGCATTAAAAGTCACAATTCAGCCATTTACCTCCCAATTTTCCCACTGATTTGCAAGTGTCTAAGAGTTCTGCCGTAGCTGCTGTTCCAGAGATCCAGCTGGCTCCTTCTCTTCATGTTCTTATTCTTTTCAACCCCGTCAGTAAAGTGAACTCTCCATAGCTGCTGTGTGAGCTGCATGCCTGTGCGAGGGAGCTCAGAGAAATCTTGGAAGGAAGAAAGGGGCACTGGCCTCTCCTCTGCCACCGTGGCTTCTACCCTGTACCTGCTTAAGCTGGCACTGCACTAAGTTTATTTCTTATTTTCAGATGCACGCCTGCGGTCCCACCTCTCAAGAGGCTGAGGCAGGAGGATTATAGCTGTTTGAGTCCCACCTGTGTTACATGGTAACCCCTACTTCCAAAATTAACAACAACAACAACAAAAAAAAAAGCAAGCATTACCAGGGCTTGTTTGCATCTGCTTCAAGCTCAAATTCTAGAGAAGGAAGACTTTTTATTAACCTAAACTTGAGTTTTCCTTCAGATCTCAGTTCCTGTGACTGTTGGCAGATTTCTTGGAGTTACACTGAGCTCTGAAGTAACAACTGATGTCTGTGAGCTCAGGCCCCTCTGCATCATCCATTGACATTTGGGCTTTCTTGTTGCAGGGTCCCCTCCTGATTCAATCCAGCAAGGATCCTGTATGTGTAAACCTGCCTGGAGACCTGCTCAAGAACAAAGGTATGATACTTCTTGTTGTTGTTTCGTTTTTTGAGACATGGTCTTCCTGTATAGTCCAGGCTGGCCTGGAACTCATAGATATCCACCTGCCTCTGCTTCCTGAGTGCTTGGATGAAAACATGTGCCATCACACCTGGGAAGATTTTTTTTTTTTAAGATTCACTCATTATTTATGTGTATGTGTCAGCTTGCTTAAGTAAGTGTATACCATGTGTGCAGAAGCCAGTGGAGGCCAGAAGAAGGTGTCAGATCTACTGGAGATAGAGTTAAAGGCAGTTGGGAGCCACCATGTGGGTGCTAGGGGACTGTAAGCACTCTTAATTGCTGAGCCATGTTTCCAGCCTCCAAATTGGGGATTGTTAAGAAAAGGTTTAGTTGTGTTCTTTTGGGTGGCAACCAGTGTACACTCTTAGTGGGAATAATGTATTCTTTTTTTGTTACCATTTTTACCAGGTTGGGTTTTCTTTTGTTTTTTCTTGTAGTTCAGGTGGGGAGGGGTGAATGAAATGGAAGAGTAAGGGTAGAAACTGGTCTGGAAGCTTATCTGAGGAGATGTGAGGGCATGGGAGTGGTGGGGTTAGGTTTGGCTCTGTGCCCACCAGGCCTGCTGAGGCTGTGGTGGAGGCTTGAACCATGTGTTACAGAGTTGGTGGTTTTCTTCCACTCTAGTCTCCCGGTACTGAGATCAGATCATGACCTAACATTTGACAAGCAGAGTATGTAGGTGATCTCTAGGGACCAAGCTAGCTCAAGCTAAGCCTCTGGGCCTGTAACTTTCCAGTCTTCTCACAGTATGAACTCGGACTCAGTTGGTATGCAGGTACAGATTTTTTTTTTTTCCAGGACAGGATTTCTGTGTAGCCCTGGCTGTCCTAGAACTTGCTCTATAGACTAGGCTGGCCTCAAACTCACAGAGATCTGCTAGGAATGTCTTTTGGGGACTTTGTTCACATCTCCTCCCACCCCCAGCCCTGCCCATCTTTTGTCAGGGTCTCACTATGTAGTCTTGGCTGTCCTGGAACTCTCCACGTAGACCTCTTCCAGACCCAAGTAAGCCTGCTGTCCCAAACTTCCTACAGCCTCTTAGAGCCCTGCTCTTGGCTGAACTGAGTGTTCCAATATAGAAACCTGCTGGGGACATTTCAGACAAAACCCCTAACAGTGGGGGGGGCTCCTAGGAAAGAGAAGTAATTGAGGGGTTATGTCACAGGGAGTCTGTCCTGTCCGACACGTTCAGACTGGTCCCTCCCTGTCTGCTCATATCAGGGGTGTTTATTTTTTGAAACAGGTTCTGTGTAGTTTAGCTGGCTTTGAATTTGTCTGTGTAGAGCAAGCTGACCTCAAACTCAGAGATCCTCCTGCCTCTTCTTCCTGAGTACTGGAATTAAAGGCGTGAGAAAACTGGCCCAGCTCTTTGCTTGCTTGGTTTTGTTTGAGGCAGTTTTCATGTATTCCAGGGCATCCTTGATCCTGCTATGTAGTCAGGGGTGACCTTGAACTCCTAATTTCTTACCTCTTTTCAAGTGCTAGAATTATAGGTATGCGCTGTCCCACCCAGTTTAACTTCTTAAGTGTTGTATTTTAAAAGCTGTACAAAGGAACCACACCATACAACAGAACCCATGGAGGAGGTTTATTGAGGGAAGGGGAGAGAGAAGGGGTCAGGGACTGGTCTCTGGGGATGAGAGTGAAGGGAGAGAGGGAGAAAGAGAGAGATGTGTGTACTAGTGACTGCTGACAGCACACGTGCAGTGATAGGACTCCAGAAGTGGCTAGAAGTAAAATTAAGCTCATCGATATTTGTTGTTGTTCTTGTTTTTTTTTTTTTTTTTTTGGTCTGTTTTTCTAGACAGGGTTTCTCTGTGTTGTTTTGGAGCCTGTCCTGTAACTTGCTCTGTAGACCAGGCTAGCCTTGAACTAACAGAGATCTGCCTGCCTCTGCCTCCCAAATGCTGAGATTAAGGGCTTGTGTCACCACCACCCAGTGGGGAAATGGTTTCTTAATTCTAGCATGAAGTAACATCCCAGTGTAGCTCCCCATCCCCTATTATTTTTTGAACCCACTTTCGCTTTATAGACTAATCCTAGTAATACATAAGCAGGTTCCAGGCCAGCCAGGGCTATGCAGTGAGATCCTGCCTCAATTTTTTTTTTTTTTTTTAAGATTTATTTATTATGTATACAGTGTTGTGTCTGCACATATCCCTGCAGGCCAGAAGAGGGCATCAGATCTCATTACAGATGGTTGTGAGCCACCATGTGGTTGCTGGGAATTGAACTCAGGACCTCTGGAAGAACAGCCAGTGCTCTTAACCTCTGAGCCATCTCTATCTCTCCAGCCCTCAAACCATTTTTTTTTTTTTTTTTTTTTTTGGTTTTTCGAGACAGGGTTTCTCTGTGTAGCTTTGCGCCTTTCCTGGAGCTCACTTGGTAGCCCAGGCTGGCCTCGAACTCACAGAGATCCGCCTGCCTCCGCCTCCCGAGTGCTGGGATTAAAGGCGTGCGCCACCAACGCCCGGCTCTCAAACCATTTTTTAAATTCTGTTTATTTCTTATGTGTGGGTGTTCTGCATCATGAAGTGGAAGCTAGAGGACAGCCTACAGTCATTTCTCCCTCCATCATTTCTCCCTCCACCATGTGGATCCCAGGGATGGAACTCTGGTCCTCAGGCTTGGTGGCAAGTGCCTTAACCTGCTAAGCCATCTCATTGGCTCCTGGAACACTTTATGTAGATCAGACTGGCTTTCAATTTATAATGCATCTCCTGCCTCACCTCCTGAGTACTGGAATTAAAGGCACATGCCACCATTCCTTGTCTGTTGTAATTTTTGTATTCTCCAATGACCGATGATGGTATTGTGGGGTTTTGTTTGTTTGGTTTTTGGTTTTGTTTTTTAAATTGTGGATGAGTGTTTTGTATACATTTATGCCTGGTGCCAGAGAGTCTAGGGGACAGTTTCAGATCCCCTGGAACTAGAGTTACAGTGAGTTGTGAGCTGCCCTGTTGGTGTTGGGAACTGAACCTGGGTCCTCTGCAGGAGCAGCCAGTGAGTGCTATTAACTACTGAGCCATCTCTGGTATTTTTATGTATTTAGTTTTCAATTACATATCTTTGGTAGTATTCTTTTTGGGGAGCAGGGTGATGATTCAAGACAGGGTCTCTCTGTGTAGCTCTGGCTGTCCTGGAACTTGCTCTGTAGACCAGGCTGGCTTCAAACTCAGAGATCTACCTGCCTCGGCCTCCCGAGAGCTGGGATTAAAGACATGCACTACCACCGCCTGGTAAATACTTATTTTTTGAATTGGTGCTTAATAATTTTAGATTCACAGAGAAGTTGAGCCTGTTCTAGAGTATGTCCATATCCCCATACATGTGTACATGGATAGTGTGGTAGTGTGGTGGTTTGAATGAGAGTGGCCCTATAGGCTCCTATATTTGAATACTTGAAGGTTCCTAGTTGGTGGAACTGTTTGAGAAAGAGTAGGAGATGTGTGACTTTGGAAGAGGTATGTCACTGAAGATGTGCTTTGAGATTTTAAAATCCCAGGCCATTCTCAGTTAGCTTAGTCTCTCTCTGCCTCCTACTAGTAGATAAGGATGTAAGGCATCAGCTACTGCTCCAGTGCCCTGCCTGCTTGCCTGCTGCTGTGCTCCCAAGCCATGATGGTTATGGACTCACCCTCTGAAATTGTAAGCCCCAATAAACTTTTTTCCATATAAGTTGCCTTGATTGTGGGATCTGATCACAACAATGGAAAAGTAACTAAGACAGATAATTTTGATAGTTAATTTTATGGGATTTAGAATCACCATGGAAACATATGGGTATATCCATGAAGAATTATCTAAATTATGTCAACTGAGGCAGGAAGACCCACTCTACTTGTGCTCACTACCATTCTTGGGTGGAGGCCAGGACTGAATGAAAAGGAGAATGTAGAGCTGAGTACAAGCATTTACCACTCAGTGCTTCTTGACTGGGTTCAATCTGAGCAGCCACCTCTACTGTTTCCCACCACACATTGCCTTTCCAGCATGATGGACTGTGAGCCAACCTTTCTTCCTTCCTTCAGTTGTCTGCCTCAGGCATTTTGTCACAGCAGCAAGATGAGTAAGAGGTAGGTCCCCTGCTATTAGTTAACATCTTACCTTAATACACTACATTTTTAGTCCTTAAAAGCCAGTATTGATGAATCATTAATCCAAGTTCATGCTTTATTCAGATTACTGTACTGAGAAACTTTTGCTGTTTGAGGATCCCATTTATCCTCATGTCATTTCAGGATTCTCTAATTTGTGATAGTGGTAGTTCCTGTGTTTTGGTGTTTGGGGGTGATTTAAGAGTGCAGGTGAAGCCGGGTGGTGGTGGTGCACACCTTTAATCCCAGCACTCAGGAGGCAGAGCCAGGTGGATCTCTGTGAGTTTGAACAGAGCAAGATGCAGGACAGGCACCAAAACTACACGAGAAACCCTGTCTCCAAAAAAAAAAAAAATAGAGTGCAGGTGTATTGTAGACTAGGTTTAGAGGTGAAAGTTACTTTCAGGGGATGCACTGTATTATTATAGTCTCAGCTCTGGAGAGTGAGGCAGGAGGATTATGAGCTCAATTTTAGCCTAGGTGAGAACATACCTTTTAGGAAGTGTAATTTTTATTGCATTACATTAAGGAAGGACACATGCTATCAACATGCATTAGTGTTTGTTGGTTTTACCCCATTGTAAAGTTACTCTTCTTCCTTTTCATACTTTAAACTCTTTAAAAAATAAAGTTGAGAACTTTATTAAAAAATAAAGATGGCTCAGTGGTTAGAAGCATTGGCTACTCTTACAGAGGACCCAGGTTTAGTTCCCAGTCCTACACAGTGGCTAATAAGCATCTGTAACTCCAGTTCTAGAGGATTTCATGCTTTCTTCTGGCTTTCTCAGACACCAAGGTGTACATACATATATTCAGGCAAAACACTCATATACACAAAATATACAAATAAACAAATGCTAAATAATAAAATACAAAATGTAAAAATAAAGTTGCCTTAAATTCTGCTTCAAAGTCTTGTACAATTTCAAAATGTATGTGTATAAAATCACCTTAACGGGTGATTCCAGCTGTCCACAAAGCTCTTTCTCCACCTACCTTCTGCTATAACTACTTGAAAGTAGCTGCTCCCTCACCTGCTCCCTAAGATTCTTGATTAAGTAGAGAACAGATGTGCTTTAGCAAATCTGAACTTCACTGCCTTGCACAGAGGAAAACCATAGTCCTCAGTTTGGGGCGTGGATGAAGAATTTCTCATTATTCTGGACAGATGTATTGCGGGTACAGTTACCTCGATGCTGAACACATGACTTAATGAATTACATAGCATCCTATGGAAAGATGAAATGAAATTATGAGGAGTGCTTAGGCTGAGAAGTTCATGGGTAGATTGTTATTTGGGATCATAGGAAATTAGATTATTTCACAATGCTTAGTACTGTGTGCAGAATTGGAGGTGGCCTTTTGTTAGTAATTAATACTTATGCTAACTGTTGACATCCAGTGCACATTTATCCATCCAGGACTGCCTCTGCCTGTCCTAGAGGTCTGGGAGTGTAGTTCAGTGGCAGAGCTAATTGTGTGTGGTTCTGGACTGGATGGATTGTTAGCACCCAGATAGCAAACTCATTACTCCCCCGACCTCTCTGTGAAGGGATGCTAGCCTTGTACCTGCCAGGCAAACCTTGTATCACTTAAGTTTTACCTGCAGCCCATACTCCAAATACTTTTAAATGGTGTTCTACACCTAGATACCATTGTAATTGTTCTCGTGTCCAGTTAAATAAGAAAGAGAAAAGGCAGGCAGCTCTCTGAAGACTGCCAGCACTACACCAGGCAGTGGTTTTTTGTTTTGTGTTTTGTTTTGTTGTTGTTTGTGTTTGGGGGGGGGTTGTTGTTGGTTTTGTTTGTTTGTTTGTTTTTTGTTTTTGAGATGGGGTTTCTCTGTTTAGCTTTGGAGCCTTTCCTGAAACTCACTCTGTAGCCCAGGCTGGCCTTGAACTCACAGATCCTCCTGGCTCTGCCTCCCTGAGTGCTGGGATTAAAGGCGAGCACCACCACCACCACCACCACCACCACCACCACCACCACCACCTCCAGCCCAGGCAGTATTTACATGTGATAGTTAATCCTCCATGCAGCACTGAGGTAAGTGTACTTACTGTGCTTTCTACAAAAGAAGAACCTGAGGCTCAGAGGAGGAAGTACGGTAGAGTTGAGGAGCTTCAGAATTCTGGCTGGCTTGATTTGTGGGGGGCCTCCTGTCTCCCTCCTGCTGGCCTCAGAGGTGTGTCTGTAGTTGTGTTTCCATCCATACAGAAGGTGGGTTTGTGTTGTTTGCTTGCTTGCTGTACTAGTTTCTAATGGCAGTCTTTATACTAACTCAGAACTGAAAGGAATCAACTAAACTGCCATGTTCCTCTTACTCAGCTTCAGTATTAATCAGCCCAGTCTTACAAAAAGGCAACTGGATTTTTTGTTGTGTTTTGTTTTTGTTTTTCCAGGCAGGATTTCTCTGTGTAGCTCTGGCTGTCCTGGAACTCAAGAGACCCACCTGCCTCTGCCTCACGGATGCTGGGGTTAAAGGTGTGCCCCACTACTGCCTGGCTCCGAAAGGCAGTTATTACAAGTCATTGGAGTTAGACCATTCAGCTTGCAAGTTAATCTTACATAAAGTTCTACATATACCTGTTCTTTTTCTTTTTCCTTACTTGTTTTTGGCAGTGCTGGGGATTGAAACTGTGATTTCACTAATACTAGGAATGGGCTCTACCACTGAGCTGCAGTTCCAGCTCTGACTGTTCCTTTTCAAAGAGCTATTTTATCCATACTGTATCTGATTTCAGATAATAAAATAGACATTGAATAAAAAGAATGTTGTAATGACAGTTTACTAGTGATAGCTAGCTAGATGATTGATTAATTTTACAATACCTAACATTGATTCCAGGACCTTGTTCATACTAGGCAAGTGCTTTACCATTGAGCTTTAGTTCTAGCCCTTTTTTCAGCTTTTTTTTCCCCCAGTTTTTTGAGACAGGGTTTCTTTGTATATCCTTGGCTGTCCTGGAACTCACTCTGTAGACCAGGCTGGCCATGAACTCACAGAGACCTGCCTGAAAATGGCAACTTCTTAAGCCTGAATCAGGCTCACATTTTCTGTGTTCCTCAGTTATCTAGTATCATCTGTGAATGCCAAGTAACATAGTTTGCAAAGAAACAAAGCCTTGTGTGGCTTACATCTTGTTGAGTTGAGTCATCATTGGATGCATGATGAAATTCACTTAGGGAGAGCAGCTTTTTTATTTTTTAAATTACATATACTTATTTGAGTTTCTTTCTCTTCTGTAAAAGGAAATGTACACAAGACAACTGGAACTCTGCCAGAACCCATTGAAGACAGGCAAGGTATGAAAACCAGTGGGGTTAAAGGGTAATAATGAAGGACACAGGGTGGCGCTGTGCATCAACGTCTGTCAGCTGGGTGTAGTGAGCACCAGGAGCAGACAGAGTCATGACCCGCAGAGAGCTTTTGGAAACCAGAGCTTTAGGTACCCTAGAACCTTCAGTCTTGGGGACCCTGAATTAATAAAGCAGTTCTTAAAGAAAACCATGTGGAGAATTACTGATTGTCCCTTTTGGTTGTCATTCCCAGGGGACTGTGCAGTTTCCAGAATGAACAGAGGGAAGGAGAAGTTGTGTGACTTCAACCTTGTTTGTGAAGCAGGTGACAGTCCCCACCAGATGCCCAACCACTGTAAGGAAGTACACAGTTCTGCACACGATAGTTCCACCACTGCAGGAAGCAAAGGTTCTGGAAAACCCTCAGAAGAAAGCTCTAGAATTTTATATCTCACATCATATTTATCTAGCCCCAAATCCTTAGAAAAACTTGGTTTTGAAAGCAATGGTTTGATAAAGGAATCTGCTGAAAAAATGCACAAGGTTGATCAAAGCAAGAACTTCACTTGTGGAGAAGAAAATAAAGAACAGTATTGGAGGCCGAGGAGTGAAAGAGGGAGTCTCTTTCTTTTCAATGGCAGGCAACAAGAACAGGATGGTTCTGGTGAGAAACAGACTGTGGAATCCAGTAACTGTTGCACTCAGGCTAGTTCCTGTACAGAGAACTATAGTTCTATGCCTGATTCTTTTACTGAAGCCACAGAAATAATGTTTAAAAAAAAAAATCTGAAAATCACTTTAAACATTCAAGGTAATTTGGTAAACTCTGAGGACCATACAAAAACTGTCACTGATGTGAACCATCCTGAGAGACACTCTCAGGAAAGCAGTTTCTCCTTGTTGCATAGTGAAGAGCCAGCACAAACGACAGGAAAGTCTAGTGCATTACATGAAGAGATTTCCAGTAAAGACTCTAAGTCTGAGGTTAGCATCCAGAGGAATCTAGGGGACTCTCTGCCAAATAAAGCATCATGCAATGATTTTCTGTCTGGAAGTAAAGCCCTTCAGAGTTTGATACCAGCAGATCCAGTGAGTCCTGAACATAATGAAATATCAAAAACCAAGAAAGGTACTGCAAAATTACCACCATGTCCAGAGCTTGATTGCAGACCTGCTTTAGAAAAGCATGGACAGGCCTCACATGACAACGTTGCACATTTAGATGAACCCATCATTGCCTGTGAGTTGAGTGAACGTTCTTGTAACAGTGAACTAGCTGTGCACAAAATAGAACATGAATGTGTTTTAAATCAACAAGTGTCCCTTAATTCTCAAGAGCATGTGACATTACCAACTTACTCTCTACTAAATCGGAACAGAGAGATGCCTTCAGCAACATGCACAGATGCTCACCAGAGCCATCGTTCTCTAAAGAATGGAGCAAGTGTTACCACCAATACTCAAACCATTCCTGCTGAGACAGAATTGGAAGCCATGTCTCCACAAGGTGACAAAACCTGTGATGCCTCTTCATCCATCCACCCCTTAAATAGCAAAATAACAAACCCCGAAGGACAAAAGGAAATGGCTGATTCAGGTATCAGAGATCTACATTCCATGTTTCTCTCAAGAGCGAAGGAAGCAGCTGGCTTTTCCTTTGTCACAGAATGTCAAAATGTTCAGTCTCAGGATAGCTCCAGCTGTCAGTCCACGACAAGAAATGCATCTGAAAAGAAGATGCGCTCTGATTGTGCTGCTCTTGGACCCACAAAAGACAGCCCGGAAGTCAGCAACTGTAAAAGAAACTCTGCAGATGCATGCCAGTCTAGCTGTCAGTGCTTCCGAAGACCAGAAGACGTTGTGGAAAATAGCTCCTTCTTGGTGCAGGAACCTGCCGGCAGGGAGACTCCAAGCAGCCTTCGAGGAGGCAAGGTTAGAAACGAAATGACAGCGGGTGTGGCCGAGAGTGGAGCTTGGAACACCACCACTCACGCTCCCAGTCAGGCGGGAGCCAGTGAGGCAGGACTGGGGGGAGAGAAGCAGGGTAAACACCAAGACACTGCAGCTGATGAGCACGGCACCTCTGCTCGTGCCACCCAAGAACCGAACCAATCTACAAACATTCCAAGTCCTGACACGCCAGCAGACCCGTCTCTGGCTGCTACTTCATCTCATTTTCAAACCAGGTACCAAGCAGCTGAAAGCCTTGAGCAGAAGGCAGGTGACGTCTCTGACTGTCAGAGGAACCAGCATGGTTCAGACAAATGTAGAAGGGAAGGGAAGCCAGCTCGGGAAGGACTAAATGGTGACCACCAAGACGCTATCCCTGAGGTAAACCACAAGGGAAAGGATTTGACGGTCAGTTCAGGCAGTGAAAACCCTGTGTTTTGTGATAGTTTGGAGAAAAAAGATCCCAAAGGAGCCTTTGAAAATGTCCCTGGCTCTGCAGCGTTGAAACACAGTGTGCTAGATGTGGTATGTCCATACTGCACGGATGAGCCTGCAGAGAGCGTGCTGGACGTGGAAGCACCTAGTCGAGCTGGTCGATCGACAAGGCGAAATAGACTGGCATACCACGAGACCTTAAGGAGCACCTCATCTCTTGGAGGAGAACTGAACGTTGTATTTATAGGTACAACTCTCCAGGACTTGGAACTCCCAAATGTTGCTGCTTCTACAGGAGACTCTCCTGAAATACTAAAATCACATGGAGAAAAAGTGTGCAGATCTCTAAAAGACAGTGGAATGGAAGAGTATCCAGACTCTGCCATTGATCGTGAAGCAAAATCTGCTGCTGCTGCTGCTGCTGAGCCAGCTAGGAGAGCACAGGATGGAGGCGGTGTATCTTTAAATCACGTTCATTGTGAGCATCAGGATAAAGGAGCATCCATGACGGAGGGACTGAGACGGGAAGCCAATTCTGACTTTGATGGGAAGGAAACCTTTGGATTATTCTCAAAAGACTTGATGTCTTCTAGGTGCCATGGCTCTGTGGAGATGGTGCATTCCCATCTTTCTGCTCAAGAACATTCACCAGCTGGTGTTTGCAGTGAAATGCCTAAATTGAAACATCTCTTGAAACCCAAAGATGGTAAACTGCTTCATGAAAACGTCAAGGATTGCCCAGTCCAGTCTGACATGAAGGAAGGAATACCAGCGGATATAAGTAACCCTAGTGAAGGAGGTGGTGCATACATCAGTGTGGACAAAACTGTTCGCAAAGCTTGTCGTTCTCATGAGATTTCCAATAAGCATTTGCCTTTGATAATGGAAACAGCAATTAAAATGAATAAAGAAGAAACTGAAGAACATCAGAGAGGACCACTGGATCACTTACCTGTTGGAGAAAAGTCTGAGGAGACCATTACCAGAGAAGGTCATGAAGATAATTTTTCTAAGAGGTCTCAGACCCACTTGAAATGCCACAGAGTGCAGGATGTTGCTGGAAACCCACAAAGCCAGAGAGTTGCGGACTGCGTCTTGCCAAAGGAAGAACATATATATCAAAAGGGTACACATGCACTGCTGGAACAACACATGTCATTGAACGTGTCAGATGAGGTGCAGAATAAGAAGCAGCCTGTGGCTAACCAAGATAAGTCCATCATAATGGAAGAAGTCACCCTAAGAAAGCCAACCACGAAAAAAATGGCTAGACAGCTTCAGAGGTTGGCAGATCCAAAAGAAGAAAGCTTATGCCATCTGTTAATGAAAGACGTTGAGTTAGGTCCTCAGCTTCCTGGTACCTCCTGGACAGAACGTGATTCCAGCTCTGCTGGAGGTGGTCAAATACATGGTGCCTTTGTGACTTTGTCATATCAGCCAAGATTGCTTCCCGTAAAGAGGCAGCCTCATCGAACGTGTAAGAGAATTTCCTGCCTGGAGCCAGTCACTGTGCGGAGAAAAATAAGTAAAGTGAGAAATTCTGATTGGGGAAAGTGTTCCTCTAATCCCATCCCCACGAAAGCACACAGACTTCTCAGTCCATGTGCCGTGCCTGCCACGCCATTGGAACCTGAAGCAGTACCTAGCAGGAGCTTGTGTAGCCACATACCAAAGCCAAAGGCTACTCTGTGCCATCCCTTGAGGAGCCTGAGTTGTAGGAAGCCTACCAAAGAATCAGCCTTACTAAACAAGTTGTCTATCCTTGCCTCCAAACTGGTTCTGGCCACAAAGCCCCAGAAACTCAGATATCGGCGATATTCCTCTTCCCTTGTTCCATTGGCTAAAAGCTACAAGCGCCTCAGATATAAAAAGCTCCTAGATGGATTTTCATATAATGCAATGCAGCTGGACCCATATTTGGCAGCTACTGGATGGGATAGGAGGTCTAACAGTAAGCCCTTGGCACTTTATTCTCTTGAAGCTGTCAAAATGAGCTTCATAGATTTGAGCAACAAGATGCCATCACTGCTGTTTGGTACCGAAATCTTCCCATTTTCCTTTCATGTGAAATCAGCATCCAGTTGCACGGTCGAGTCCCCCAGGACTTTTCCTGAGCACTGTGCTCCATCGAGGCTTGCCTTAGCAGAGACCTCCCAGTGCTCATCTCCACCTCCCAAGTGGACCTTTTCTTTTTTCATGTCCCATGGTTGCCCTGGGATGGCCACATTCAGGGAAGACACTGGCCTCTGTAGTCAGACACGCACTCAGGCTCCTCCACAGACTACAGCTCCTCTCCAAGACTATGGAGGCACTGCCATAGTCCAGACCAGAGCAGACTGCTCTGGCCTTGGCCTTCACACACTTCTAGCACTTTGTTCACCAGGATGTTACCGAATCTGGACAAAAAAACGGAGCTTCTCCAGTCACATGCCTGCCATGCAGAGGCTCTTCTTGACCCAGTTTACACAGGGCTTAAAAGGGTTAAGGTCTCCAGCCTCTCTAGCGGACAAGGTCTTCTGCTCTCTGCCCTACTCAGTGGGCCGAGTGTTGTCCATTTGGAGCCAGCATGGGCCCTCCTGTACCTTTGAATTGCCAGCTCTTCATTCCACTCACAGCAAACAGCAGGGGAGCCTGAGCGCCCTGAGCAGGTAAGAGCTTGTTGTTTCTTCTCTCAGTGTATTCCATGTTTGTCTCCTGCCATGGGGGAAGGAGAGGGGCCGCTGCTAGAACTGCAGACTGTCCGCTGGAGGCTTCCTGTGTCTACACTGGCTTCCCTTGTAAAGTCTCTGTTGAGAGTGCAGCAGGAATTCTTAGCTATTGAGGCCCCTAATTTGCCCCCAGCATCTTCTCTTATATCTTGCACCATTCTTTCCGTTTACTCTTCATGCCGTAATCTTTTTCCCCCCTTGAGACAGTGTCTCTACATAGCTCTGCTGTTGTGGAACTCACTAGACAGACCAGTCTGGCCTACCCAGCTTCCTAAATGTTGAGATTAAATTTATGTACCACAATGCCCAGTGTGTGCCACCATCTTCCATTGTTGTTCTTTTGTGACACTGTGTCTCAGGCTAGCCTGGAACTCAAGAACATCTCTCGGGGTTGGGGATTTAGCTCAGTGGTAGAGCGCTTGCCTAGCAAGCACAAGGCCCTGGGTTCAGTCCTCAACTCTGGAAAATTTAAAAAAAAAAAAAAAAAAAAAAAAAAAGAACATCTTGCTTCAGCCTTGAGTGCTGGGATTCCAAGTATGAGTCATTATGCCCCAGCTGTCTCTACATTTCTTTCGTAGTATATGCTTCAGAGGTTCACATTAGCATACCCTGGTTTGGTGACTTCGTAGAATTTGTAGTGAACTGGACAGAAGTTCTATGGTTTCACTGTTGGGGATAGGGGAGAATAATTTGATCACTGTTATTGTGCCTTCTAAATGGAAATAAAGAGTACTGGACTGGGGCGTAGCTCAGTGGTGGAATGTTTGATTGGTTAGTGTAAGACCCTAGGTTCAGTACAGCTCAGAGAGAAAAGGAGGGGAGAACTTAGTTTTAAATTTCCTGTTCTATTAGAGTTCCTAGGAGGTGACAGTATAGCTTGTGTAGGGTGCATGCTCAGCATGAGTTAAGATGCTGGCCTCAACCCCTACATGAAAACAATCTTCAAAGAACTGCCTGTGTTAGAGAAATCTTTCTAGTAAAAATCTTTAGATGAATGGAAACTGTCATTTTTAATTTGCTCTTACTGTTCCTATACCTGAATCTTATTTTTATTTATTTACTTACTTACTTTTGTTTTTTTCTAGACAGGGTTTCTCTGTGTAGCCTTGGCTATCCTGGAACTCGCTTTGTAGGCCAGGCTGGACTTGAACTCAGAGATCCGCCTGCCTCTGCCTCTGCCTCTGCCTCTTAAGTGCTGGGATTAAAGGTGTGCACCACCACCGCCCAGCTACAGTTGAAATTTTAGCAGTAATATTTCAAATAATATCAAACCCACCTAAAACGTAATATTTCAAAGCTAAGCTGCTGAGGCAAGATTACAAAACCAGTTCAAGACCAGTTTGGGCTAAGGAGAGCTGTTATCTCAAATACACGTTAAAGGGGCTGGGAAAATGGCTCAGCAATTACAAGGGGTTTGGTTTCTCTCAACTCCAGTCCTGTAACTCTAGTTCCCAAGGATGCGACACCTTCTTATGACTTCTGTGGGCACTGCATGCATTTGATACCCATACATACATATAGGCAAATACCCACATATGTAAATTTTTTATCATTTATTTATTTATTTTAGTTTTTCAAGACAGGTTTCTCTGTAGCACTGGCTGTTCTGAACTCACTCTGTAGACCAGGCTGGCCTCTAACTCACAGAGAGATCCGCCTGTCTCTGCCTCCCAGGTGCTCGGACTAAAGATGTGTGCCACCATGCCCAACTATGTAAAATTATTAAGTGGATGGATGGATGGATGGATGGGTGGATGGATGGATGGATGGACGGACGGACGGACGGACGGATGGATGGGATGCCTCCTGGCAAGATGGTTATTTCAGTGAGTAAGCCACCAAGCTTGACAGCCTGATTTGGATTTCTGGCACCCACATAGTGGAGGGAGAAAAATGACTAGCTTCCCTTTGACATTCACATACTTGCCATGGTATAGACATAGTAAGCTCACAAGTATAAGAAACTACATTTGAAAATTTACAATAATGCTGGCCATTGGTGGCGCACACCTTTAATCCCAGCAGTCGGGAGGCAGAGGCAGGCGGATCTTTTGAGTTCAAGGCCAGCCTAGTCTACAGAGTGAGTTCCAGGACAGCTAGAGCTACACAGAGAAACCTTGTCTCAAAAACAAAAAAACAAAAAAACAAAAGAGAGACAGTGATAGATGGATCCCTTTCCCTTCCTGAAAAAGCAAAACAACAAAACACTGCAAGCAAAATAATTGAGTAGCCCTGAAAACAGTACTTAAATCAACCCGTGTGTGTGTGTGTGTGTGTGTGTGTGTGTGTGTGTGTGTGTGTGTGTGTGTGTATCAGAGAACAGTTTTAGAGTTGGTCTCTTTCCACCTTAGTGTGGGCTCCAGGAATCAAGCTTAGCTGTCACCTTGCGTGGTCAGGCAGTAAGCGCTTTTACCTGCTCAGCCATCTTGCCTGCCCCATTTTTCTGTTTTGTTGAGACAGGGTGTCATGTTGTTCAGACTGGCTTCAAACTCACTTAGTATCTCAGCATGACCTTGAACTCACCATCTGTATATCCTCCCTAGTGCTGCGGTTGCTTATATAGGTACTTTGTTGTGTTTGGTTCTTTTACACGTGCAGGATACTTTTGTGTCTGAGTTTTAGAAACATTTGCTGTCTGTGTGCATGCATGTGAGTGAGTGCACATGTGCCATGATGTGCATTTGGAGATCCGCAAAGTTTTTGGGAGTCCATTCTTTTCTTACCCCCTGTGAGTTCCAGAGTTTGAACTCGGGTGGTCAGGCTTGGCAGCAAGCCCTTCCACATACGGAACCAACTTACTGTTCCTTAGGTTTAAAATTTTAAAGGAAACTTAACATCTGTGCTTACCAACGTACTTAAAAAGTGACGTCCCAGACTCAGTCTTGTCCCTGTCCTTTTCTTTACTGTCCTCTACTTTCCTGACATTTTTTCCAGTTAAATTAGGAAGCAGTCTTCCTGTTAGCCTACTTCCCCCAGGGATGAGCACACTTTTGCGCATAGCTCCATGGTTGGGAGGGTCTGGCTTCTTGGCCTCCGTCATGTGCCCGTCCCTCTGGTGCCATGAGCATCTTTGCTGTCGGCCGCTCATAACCTGCTGCCTGTGCTTGTGCTTTACCTCAGCCGCGCCACCACACCACATGTGCCTCTTCCAGGCATGGAAGCTCTTCTTAACACCGACAGCAGTCACATGAGGTAAGCCTCGGCCCACGGGTTTCAAGTGTGGATGGGTGTGTGAGGAAGGGCAGGGGAGAATACACTTAGTCTAGTGTTCTTAGATAGCATGGGTCAGCCATGGCACAACCCTAAACTCTTGTCTCATTAGTCTTCCTAAGATAGGTCTCAGATAAGCATCTCTGAGACTCAGTTGTGCTTTTTGTTTTTTTCAGGCAGGGTTTCTCCGTGTAGTTTTGGTACCTGTCCTGGATCTCTGTAGACCAGGTTGGCCTCGAACTCAAGCTGGGATTAAAGCTGTGCGCCACCCCCACCCGCCTCAGTTGTGCTTTATATCAAATAATGAGGAGTAGGGTTGTATAATTAGCACCATTTACTTAATACAAAAGTCGTTAGCCAGCGTATTAGTCTCTCCAGCTGTCCTAAGTCCTGCTGCTTCACCAGCCTCGGAACTGCTTCCTGAATAGGTTGGTCTCCTCTGAGCAGTGCTCATTTGTCCATTCACTAAATTTCTTCTCACTAGTCTCTACTCATTCACAGAGTTCTTTATAAAACTGCTCTAACCACCAGAAAGCACTGGCCACATTCCTGTAACTTTTCGTATGTGTATCCCAGGTTGTGTCTAGAAGTAACTAGAAAACTGGTTGACTGAAGATGTCATTCCTGGAAAGAAAAAGTGTCATCACTCTAATCAGTATGCTCAGAAATAACACAGACTGGGTGATAGACAGCTCAGTTGGTAACTGCCTGCCTTGCAAGCCCGAGGACCTGAGTTTCATCCCGCAGAGCACACATCAAAAGCCTGCATGGTGGCACACACCTGTAATTCTAGTGCACAGAGACAGTCAGGCCCTGAGACTCATTGGCCAGCCAGCCTAGGCTACTTGGTGAGCTTTAGGCCAATGAGAAACTCCATCTCATACACAAGATGGATGGGACAGCTGAAGAAGGACATTGTCTTAAGGTTGTCTTCTGGCCTCCACACACAGGGACACGCACATGTACAGAAAAACTAAATAAAAATGTATGTTTGCTGGAAGTAGAAAGCAAACCTTACTCAGGTTTTCTCTTCATTCTGTCTCCATGGTGCTAGGCTAGAGCCTGTGTCCCCTGCCTTGGTGCCAAAGTCTTGCTTGGTAACAGAACCTGCTGTCAGCACGCTCCTGCTTTCAGCCTCTGAGTTCCAGGTCCCTGGGTTTGATGAGCTGGGTGATGTATCCGCGGCTTGCCCCCGAGCACAGAGCAGCCTTGCAGAAGAGAAAGAGGTAAGTGCAAAATGCCAGGGTGTTGAGTGAGGTGGCATTGGGGTTCCATTGTTGACCCCTGAGCATGGCAGGTGCAGACTTGACTTCAGCCTTGGCTCAGTCGCTGGGAGCACTAAGGTAAGGATTTTCCTGCTTGGCCTGGGCCTTAGCCAGGAGAGGAAACGATGGGTTTTTGTGGGGTTTCCCTTCATTTCAGTTGGTTTTCAGAGATGGGGTCTTACTGTTTTCTCCTGACTGGCTTTCAACTCTGGGTTCTAGTTGTCATCCTGCTGGGCCAGGCAGGGCTTCATTATCCCAATCCACACTGTTTTCCAGACCCAGTTTTTTCAGCAGCAGCATTAAAGAATGTTTATAGAGCGCCTTGGCCCTACGAGCTGCTTTGTGCACTGAAAGATAGTAGTAATTAATAGTGTCCTTTAGTGTCACAGCATCACCTGTTTCCACTGATAGAAGGCTTGGAGTTGACTGTCTCGGTTGGAACTGGTCAGCTCTGGTTTAATATATGAAGGGGCAGTAACTGAAAACACAGTCGGGGAGGAAGGGGAAATTTGTCATTAGCTACTTCTCCGGTTTATCTGTAAATGAGGGAGCAATGTTTTGAGTGTAAGGGCTTTATTTAAAATGTCTTATTTTTTGCCTATCTTTATTTTTAACCCTTAAAAACAGGCTGAGCCAGAGAAGAGACCAAAGAAAGTCTCACAGATCCGCATCCGGAAAACCATTCCTAAACCAGATCCCAACCTTACCCCAATGGGCCTGCCTCGGCCCAAAAGGTGAGCTTCTCTAATGGAAAGTGTGTTCATTTTTTTTGGAAAATTGCTAGACAAAGCATAATTGTCCATAAAGTGGTCATATAATCTGAGCTGTGTTTTTACTTCTAGGAATTTATGCCAAAGAATTCATTGGTTGTACAGTTAAGTGTTTATGTGCAAGGTATTTTAATACATTAATCATTTGTATTGTTCTTCTTATTCTAGATAGTGTATGTACATATAATCCTAGCTTAAACTCCAGTAGAATCTGGCCCTTGAGAGGCCAGGGCAGGAGTAGCTGCTCAACTAAGACCTTGGGTGCAAAGCCAGTCTGTGCTCCAGTATGAGGTCCTCTCTCAAAAGAGAAAGAAAGAAAGGTGCTGGAGTGCCATGATGAGACCCTGTGTCAAAATAAAACAACAACAAACCCACACACAAACCAGAAAAATTAATCTACTTAAAAAAAATTTTAGGTTTACTGATATTTATTTGTATGTGTGTTTCCCTGCATGTATGTGAACCACGTGTGTGCCTGGAGCCCTGGGAGGTCAGAAGATGGCATTGATCTCCTGGGACTGGAGTCATATATAGTTTATGAGCTATATATAGTTCCCATATGGCTTCTGGGAACCAACCCAGGTCCCATGTTAGAGCAACAAATGTTTTTAACTAGAGCCACATCTCTAGTTCCCCAATATACTTTTTTTTGTTTTGTTTTGTCTTTTGAAACAGGGTTCTCTGTGTAGCACCTTGGCTGTCCTGGAACCCACTTTGTAGACCAGGTTTCAAACTCAGGGATCCACCTGCCTCTGCCTCCTGAGCGCTGCGATTAAAGGTGCGCACCACCACGCCCAGCCCCATAATGTACTTTTTAAGTTGGGCTTTGCAGTGAGTGCCCTCCTGTGATCCCAACAACTGGGAGGTGGAAAAGGAGGAAAAAAAATTCACAGTCATCCTCAGAGTTCTCCAAACCTCTGTTCTCATGTACTAAATTCCAGTATATTTTGCATTGGTTTCCTTAAGTAAATTAAATTAATTAACCGTCTGAGCTTCTAAGAGTCTTCTCTGTGGGCCAAGGACATGCTCCAGTGGGAATAGTGCTTCCCAAAGCTTCACAACCTGCCTGACTAGTTTCCCTGTATAGCCCGGGTTGGCCCCCAACCCCATTCCTCCTGTCTTCGCCTCCAAGTGCTGAGATTACAAACATCTGTAATAGCTTACAATTCTTTCTCCCTACCTGCTCTTATTTACTGCAGGGGTATCAGAAGGCTTTGTGAATAGAAGCCTGTGAGCTACCTTTGAGCTGTATTTAGTTAGCGTGTCTTTTATTAACTACCCTCTCGTGCCACCTTGAGAAACACTTTGTGTATCTCAGGTGCCTCACTCACGTGGTGTTCATTATGAGAATGAGAAGCAGGTTCCAGTGTGGCTTACCTTCTTTCACTGGGCATCTAATCTAAAAGCCTTGTTGACAGAGATAAGTAGGTGGGGACAGACAGACTTTTTGTTTTGTGGGTTTCGTTTTGGTTTTGTTCTGTTTTTGAGACAGGGTTTCTCTGTATAGTTTTGGTGCCTGTCTTGGATCTCGCTCTGTAGACCAGGCTGGCCTCGAACTCACAGAGACCCACCTGCCTCTGCCTCCCGAGTGCTGGGATTAAAGGCGTGCGCCACCACCACCCAGCATACTATTTTACTTTTCCTTCCTTCCTTCCTTCCTTCCTTCCTTCCTTCCTTCCTTCCTTCCTTCCTTCCTTCCTTCCTTCCTTCCTTTCTTTTTTTTTAAATGACACAAAGTCCTGTCTTTTGTTGTTAATTTTGGATTTGTGTACAGAGGATTCGTCTTATCACGGCATCTTTATCTGTTTGTTTCTTCGTACTTTATTCTCATTGGTTATCCTTCCTGTACTCCCTCCGGCACCAGCTGGTTCCCTCCCTCCCCCAGGAAGCCCTCCTCCGTTTTCATAGTTGATTACCCACAGTTGCCCATGTTCTCACAATCCCATCCTCCCTAAACAATCTCCTTTCTAGTTTTATGACACACATTTATAATTTTAAGTGTGTTCTGCATACGAGGGACAGCCTGGTATTTGTTTTTGATGTTCTGGCTTATTTTGCATAATGAATCTCAGTTACATATATTTTTTTCCTGTAGCTGAATTTTTCTTTGGGCCACCAACTCACAAAATACAACATGGAGACTTAATATTAATTAATATTAATTATAAAAGCTCGGCTTATACCTTAAGCTTGTTCCTAACTAGTTCTTTCTTTCTTTTTTTTAATTAAGAAATTTTTTTATTCATTTTTTATACCAATCACAGATCCCCCTCTCCACTCCTCCCAACTAAGTAGTTCTTAAAACTTAAATTGACCTATATTTTTAAATCTCCATTCTTCTACGTGACTTGGTTACCTTTACTCTGTACTGCCCATCCTGCTGCCTCTGAGTCTGGCTGGTGACACCACCTTCTTCATCTTTGAGCTCTCTGTTCCCAGAAGTCCCACCTAACCTCTTCCTGCCTAGCTAATGGCCGTTCAGCTCTTTATTAAACTAATCACAGTGACACATCTTCATTCAGTGTAAAGGAATATTCCTCAACATTTTCCTATAAATGTCTTTTTTCTTTACAAACAAATAAAGTGCCATATTGTGTGTGTATATATAGCATGTTTTCTTTATTATGTTAATGGACATATAGGCTGGTTCTTTATGTTATTAGCTATTCTGAATAGTGCAGCAGTGAACATGGATGCACAGGTATCTGGTATGTTCACTTAGACACGTGCAGCTATACATCTGAAAATCCTATAGTAAGACCTACGGCATCTTGTATAATATTAGCTGGACCAGCCTTAATATTATACATCCCAGGGGCTCAGGAGAGAGAACTACTAACGGAAAGGACTATTTTTGGGAAATAGAATCTTAGCACACCGAGCTCTATAGTCCACTTGCTTTAATTCCTCTGGCATAACATCCTTTATACACAGCTTCAGTTCTGTTCTCGTGCCTAGCTCCTTTCTTGTCGGATTTCTCTCTATATTTATCTGCTGCTCCCTCTAAGTTCTATCTTAATTCTCTCGTCTCAATTCTGCCTCATCTAGGTCCTTTTCATCTTGTTCTTACCCAGCTAGTACTTCCCCATCTGACTCTTCCTCATCTTCCATCTTGTCCACATGTTCTCTCTGGTCAAAATCCTCCTTATCCTTCTCTGTTCTCTGTCTCTCTGTCCTTCCCAAGTCTCTCTGGAGTCCAGTTACAAACCCAAGCAGTAGCTATCCCCTGGTCGATCAAGGTCACCAGGCTTCAATTCTACAGGGTCATAAAGGTAGATAAGAATTTTCCTCAGACAGTGACCACCATACTTCCAGGGTGAATGGAGGAGTGATAAGAATCACATAGAGGGGCAATAATTGTTAATTATCATTTGCAACCCCAAAGGGAAGTGACTAATGGGGAAATGAATTAACTAAAGGCTAAATTCAGGTAATATCTAAGAAGAGGGAGCTTAGTGCTCCACTATAGTCTTAAACGTGACTGGTAGAAAATGTTAAGAATCTATAAGTTGCTAGGTCAATGGGAGAAAATAAAACTGTCTTCTTTTTTCCTGTGGCTCCTATCTGTCCAAGCTATCTGCCGTTTTTCGGCAGGGTGGGGGAAAGAGTGATCGGTCAGTCGCTAGGCAACCTGTGTACAGGTAGATGCCTCTGGTGATAGTTAAAGGGAGATCTGGAACTAGAGGTAAGATTTGGGAAAGGAGGAAGTTAATCTTAATTGGCTCATCCACCAGGCCTTCTCAAACAGGTAGCCTGGATGGTTAAGTCTGTTCTTAGAGAGTACAGAGGTATCTCTGATAAGGTACTTTCCTCCAACTGTGGATGGACCTGGCCGGATGCTGCCAATGACGATAATTACAGGGAGGCTTGAACTGGGGTTCTGGCTGAGCATAGCTGTCAGCGCCCAAGGTTATCTAAATATTCCTTTTGTAGAAGGGAAATGGTGCCCAATAAATGATGGAAAAGCTACAATAGCACATAAGAAACTCATAGCAGGAAATGGCTGATAATAAAAAGCCAAATATCACCAAGGCTCCTTGAGCCTTAGCTTGACCTCTGGAAGGCCCTTGGCTTCTTCCAGGTATTAGCTTTGTCATAAGTAGCTGAAATCCTACTTTGTATAATTTTGCAGCAACAGCACTTCTTTTTTTTTTTTATTCTTTTTTAAGATTTATTTATTTTTTATGTACATTGGTGTTTTGCCTGTATGTATATTTGTGTGAGAGTGCCAGATCCCCTAGAAATGGAGTTACAGACAGTTTTGCGCTTTCATATGGGTACTGGGAATTAAACCCGGGTCCTGTGGAAGAGCAGCCAGTGCTCTTCGCTGCTGAGCCATCCCTCCAGCCCTGCCATATGGCATTTCTATTTCAGTGTTTTGGAAAACCTCCACACAGATTTTCATGCTGGCTACAGAAATTGGCACGTTGACCAGCAGTGCATAAAGGTTTTTAAAGATCTATTATTTTTAAGTGTGTGTGTGTGTGTGTGTGTGTGTGTGTGTGTGTGTGTGTGTGTGTGTGTGTGTGTACATAAGGGTACAAGTACCTACAAAAGCAAGAGGTTTCTGATCCCACCGGAGCTGTAGTACAGACACAGGTCCTGGGAACTGACCTTTGTCCTCTGGAAGAGCAGCAAGTGCTTCTGATGAGCCATCTCTAGCCTTTACTGTGTTTAATTTCGTCCCTCACTTTCTGCACTGTCCACCTGCCTCCCCATGTCTGTCTCCTGTGGGTGATTTTTTTTTCCCAGTTGGTTTTTTCTGTAGTGGGCAGTGAAACCAGGCTCTGTCACCTGCATGCATGGCAGCATATTTTGTATTGGCATAGAGTGTTTTCTCATGTAGATGCTCCAGGAGATGTGATCTTAGTGTTCTCTTCTGCTTGGCTGCCACTCACACTTTTTACGGTAATAAATAATACCGTTCCCTCACGTCCTATCTCCCATCATCACATTTCTTATCT